AAACTCTTTTAAAATTTTAATCGTTGATGTTATTTGATTTTTCTTTTATTACAGGGATCGTGGCATTTATGTTGCTCTGTTTGCGGAAAGATTCATATGTGGTAGTAATGTGTTTGACAATGAATTTGATGTCAATACACATCGCATCAAGTTTGGATCGTTGCTGTGGAATTATGGCAAGATGAAACTAGAGAAACATATTTCCAGTGAATCTAAATCGTCGGGAATAATGAAAAAAATTGATCATGTAAAGCATTATAATAATTAGCTTATATCTTATGAAATTAAGAGGAATTGGAATTAAGTCTTGACCATTGTGAGTGTCTGAGTCACTGATCTTTTATAGTTAAGTTGGTATTATGGATTAACTTTTGAAATAGTACATTTCTTTGTTTATTTTAATTAAGTGATGAACCGATATTAATTTTATTTTTTCATATTCTTATGAAGAGTTCTTTTTATTCTAATTTGGTTTAAAGAGTTTGTTCATACCTTAAAGCCATGCGATTGTCTTTAATAACAATTGTTGGTTTCTTACGTGATAAGTTAGTAATATTATTCCTATCCTATAGCATCTGGCGCAATGCTGATTTGGTACTAATGATGTCATCTGCTGGAGTTCGTACCTTAATTGTAGGAGTGTCGTAATTGCTAGATAGGTCTAACAATCATCGACCCAAACTAATTTATTAAGTAAAGGAGTTCAAACCTCCTTAGGAACTGGGAATTCCTTAGGACCAGAATGCCCAAGTGTTTAAATTGGTACGTCATTTGCCAAGGGAATTGGAGCTCTGCTCGATTAATTGGCCCTGCTTCTGTCAACAAATGACATCTTGTTTTCTTTTTTTTCTTAGTTTACAATGGTTGTACTTATCCTGGTGGCAACTTATAACGTAGCAATTCGAACCATTTTCAACTTTAAGGCATTTCGTTGCACTTTAATCACCCTAGTGAAGAGGCGCACTCCGATACCATTGATGTCAAGTAGCTTTTATAGTAATGGCAGAGCATCTAATTTAGTATCTAGGTATATCTAAATTCACTTTGAAAGAAGAAAAAGAAAACACATTATTTCATTTCAAGCTGCAAGTTTATTGACAACTATATTCGAAATGACATATGATTGATATATATGATATAAGTTTAATTAGACAACAAATGAAATAAAAACAGGAAAAAAGTCTTCAAACATGAGAATCAACACATTAATTATAAAAAACAGAGTAAAATAAGCATAAATACTAGCCAACTATGTTCTAAAAGAAGAAGGTAGAGATAAAATTTGAGAACTAAATTTAAAAAGCTAAGTTGCCTGCGGAATGTTTCGGCATGTCTGCCTATTGTGATCTTGTTGTCCACACACTCCGTATGTAATTCTTGACTTCTTTGGTCTTAATTCACCACCGTTTTTGTACCTTATCTTTTGTGGCCTACCAGGTTTGATTTTCCTTTGGGTGGTAGGACAATATCCGCTGCGACATCTGGAGGAATTTCCCATATACTCTCGTCAGGAATAGGATACACTGGAACTTCATATGTGTTTAATAGGTTATCTTTCTTGTAGTATACAGATCAATATTCATATTCACTCATGTAGTATTTTCTCACAATAGCGAAAGCATGCTTACACGGCATAACATCCATTTGAAATTGCCTACAAGTGCATATCCTTTCACGCATATTGACTATATGACGTTTACCTCCATCATAAACTGTATACAAATATTCCGTTGATGGGACAACCTATATTTTAAAAATAATTTTTAGAGGTAGTACACCAACTTTTATGCAATGTATAAAAAACGATATATCACAAACAGATTATATACCATCATTCCCTGTGATTCCTTCATTTTCTCCCTCATTAGGTGTTCATATTTTGTGCTGAGTGTTGTGCCTGTTGCAATTGCTTCATTTCTGTTTGTATTGTTCCAGCGACCAATCATCTTCATCAAGTAATCCACCAAATCATATATAAGATCTCTGGCCTCCTTATCAGCTGCATTCACAGATTCGGCAATATTTGAAGTCATCACCATGAATCTATTAACATTTGAGTGTGCAATAGACCATCTGTGATATCCAATATCGAATAAGTATTCTTTCACCCTCTCGTCAATGCTATAGGTCTCAGCCATGTATTGATTGAATTCCTCTGTTGTGTATTCGTTAGCCATTGCAAAAAATATTTTTCTCAGGACCTTATGGTGCTTCCTGAAATTTTTCTTAATATTGCCCCAAAGGTGGTATAAGCATACACAATGAGGCACCCCTGGATACACAACAGAAGTGGCGTTCAGAATGCTTTCATGCCTATCAGATACGATACACATACCTTCTCTTGTGCCACAGGTCTCTCGGATCCTTTCGAAAAACCATTTCCATGATGCATCATTCTCTGAATCAACTACAGCAAAAGCTAATGGAAGTATTTTACCTGATTCATTGATAAAATACACATATAATGAATTAGGCTACAAAATCTTGTTTAAATATTTCTAATAGTAGATTATATATAATGTGAATAAGTAGATAACATTCAGGAAAAATTTATCCGAACTCGTTTAATAACCAATAGACATTCAATTAAAACTAACCTGCTGCATCCTGTGTGCAAGCCGTCAAAATTGTTCCCATGTAGGCTGCTTTTAAGAAACTACCATCAACAACAACAACAGGCATGCAATATTCCCATCCTTTAATTGAGGCGTAAAGAGCTACATAAGCATATAAAAAATGTCCATCCTCTGTCTTTACCAATCTTGTAACAGATCCTGGATTTGTATGCTTCACCATGTACAAGTAGTTAGGCAACTTTCCATACGAATCTCTAGGTTTACCTCTTAATATCTCTAGTGCCTTTTCTTTTGCCCTCTATGCCTTCATGTAGTTCAAATCAACACCATATTGATTTCTAATGTCACGTTGTATATCGGCTGGAGTATATATTGTCTTAGGATCGTCCACATTGCTCGTTATCAAGCCTCCAACAAACTTTGAAGTAGCATGACGTTGTGAAAAAAATCTTGATTCATTTCCACATGTGTGAACATTGTAAAATTTTCTTACCTTGAATATATTTGAATTATTAAGGCTGGAAGACTTAAAATACCATGAACACTGATCATCAACACACACGAGATAATACCTGCAAAATTTATTGACATCATATCGTGATTGTAACATATTATAGAATAGTATTCCAAGGATCATTAAGATCAAGAATTCTGAAGTTTAATAGTTGTAAAAATATTTTATATATGCTACATATTTGATTTGAAGCTTTTGAGATTTTACCATGAATTCTTCCTATTAATTACATGATTATAGGCTTCTCTCTAGGAAACATATAAAATGTTTTCTAACATTGCCAATCCATTATCTTAACCTGATTCTAGTTGCAATAACTTCATGGATGTGGATTATAGTTACAAAAATGAAGAGCTCAGTAAGGAGACCACAAATAAATCCTTCAGTAAAGTATTAGCAACACCATACACCCAATCTGGCACAATACTTGATTTAATTCCTACTAGTAAAACCAAAGTCATGCTGATGGAACAATCTGGACCATGACTATTACACGGTTCAATTCCTCAAAGAAGGAAATATACCATGTATTTTATACTCAAATATTATACCAAGTGTTTTATTTTGAAAGACACTCTTTAACAAGTAAAACATACTAGAATATATTTTATGCCAAGTATTATATACTAGAATATATTTTATACCAAGTATTATATACTAGAATATACTGTATACCAAGTATTATATACCAAAGCATACTATATACCAATTATTATATACTAGAATTTTCTTTATACCAAGTCGTGTATACTAAAAGTTTTTGTTGGCATCAACAAACACAACAACAAGTACTACCACAAATTTGATACCAACTTATAAAAATAATTGTTACTATTAGTTGAAGTTCTATACTACCTCGTTGTACTCGAACGCTTAACTTTGAACTGAAAATTCTCCTTGATGGCAATGTGATTCAAAACATCTTGGAGTATCTCCTTGTTCATATACAACTGACCTTTTTTTATGTCTTTGTGAACTCTGTTGTCGATTATACCATCTTCGTCACTTTCCATTTCATCATGCGAGTATTTTTTGTCTATTGAAATAAGTGTTTGAGTGAGTTCAACGGGTTCTACCAGTTGCATATCATGGGTAGAATTAGAACTTGAATTGATGGGATTCGAATTTGACAAAATTCCGTCACAGTTTTTTTCCTTCAATGTTATACACAAAGGAAAATCTGTGAAGGAACTTTTTCTTTTCAAATCCAAATACCATCTCAAACTCCTATCATTGTATATCTTCATTGGAGTATAATTTTACTTCACAAAATATTTAATTTCAATTGTATCTGTTGAAGCATAAACCCCAAGTATCTTCGTTTTATCATGAATGGTATCCAAATTCGAATCCACTTTTAGTGTCAAGCCATCAACTATGAAATTGTTGAAATTGTATTCACTATCCCATTTACCATTGTGTTGAACCAAAATTGCAATTTCTTCTTCCATGTGAGTAATTCTCAGTTTAAGAAAAAAAGTATAGTCTCCCAAATAACAGTGTCTGTAGAAGGAAGACTGATTTAGTAGAATTCTTACGAATGACAGTTTTTTCTATCTTAAAAAAAGGAACTAAAGAGTTCATGGTGCCTTAAATTTCTCTCATATTTTAACACAATTTATTAGAATGCGAAAAGGTTAAGGAAGTAAATATTAAATTGCCATAAATGTTATTCACTGAATAGGCCATATATATGTTATTATTTATGTAAAAGTGTCTACTTATGTTTTTTTCCCAATAAACAAGAGTAAAAGAAGGGAGAAACTACGTTATTAGACATACTTTACTATTATATATATTATATTATTAATATTATCTATATATTTAAAATATTACGTATTCTATTACTAATTAGGAGTTTCCTATCATATATGAGGAAGATACACCTAGATATATGTATCTTTACTACCAGGTACACTAAAATAGAGAAATAGAGACAGGTCCAACTTATCTAAATTGAGTTTGGTCTTTAACTCAATTTATTTTGACTCTTTTTTAGGCCGGTTCAAGTTATCTTAAAGTTGACTTGATTTGACTTAAATATATAACATAAAGTGATGATTCATGAGGCCCCAAGGTCTAGCTCAAGTGGCAAAAGGTGGAGAATTTGTGGCTTAGGTCGTAGGTTCAAGCCCCACACCATGCAAAGCGAAGCCTGGTATTTATGTGGAGAAGGATAGAGGGGCGGGCCCATTATCCACCGAGTTTAGAAGGTTGTGATTGGTCCAAAGGGCGGGTCATAGACGGATTTCTCGATTATCAAAAAAAAAGAAAGTGATGATTCATGAGAAATTTTGTTAATACTTTAAAAAAAAAAAAATTTGTTTGATATCTTATATAAATAAATAAAAAGATCCATTAATCTATCTTGGTAATTAAATAAATTATAAAAAAATCAAAGATAATAATTAAAATTTAGTATGGGTTGACAAGTTGGGTTATGACCATTATATATAAAAAATTTAGACGGATTAATGACTAACTCAATTATAAAAGTAATTTACTTTGTCCGTTCAAATTTAACACAACTCAATTATTTGACATTTTTATCAACCCGCTCATTTATAAATTTACTATGTTAACTAACTCAAATTCAGCTCAATCGATCCATTTGATATTCTGAGTTATTCACTTTATCCGAAGAAAATCTAGGACCTCGTCATATGATCTAACTTTTGCTCATTATCATGCTTCTTTTCAGTCTTCACATGAACAATCCAATCCTATCATATTCTTCACAAATAAAATATAACCCGTTTTTTCTTGAATTTGTTACAAAAAAAATAAATATATATAATTAACAAGTCTAGATCTCCATGCAACAAAATGCATGTGCACACCAACTTTCAGTACTCATGATTCAAAATTTTAATTTAATCAAGAGTACAAGATTTTTGAGTATTTATTTTAAAGGTTTTGCATATATTGAAGATAAATATAATACTCTAATCTTTATGTAATAGTAAAAAAAAATTGTGCCGAAAGTTTGACCAGAATGGTAAAATAACATATTTCACATTATGTTATTTTATTCTTTTGAGCATTTTTACTCTTGTAACTTTAATACATTTTAATTAAAAAATGGAAAAAAGATCAGTTTATTTTAAAATAAAAAGGATATTATATACTTTTTAAATTTCTGGCCAAATTTTCTGGTCATTTAGCATTACCCGTAATAGTAAAGGAAGAGTTATCTTTTGTTATTACTACTTACAAAAATTGAATTCAAGATAAGCAACAATTAATATTTGAATTTAAACTGATGATGTACTCCAATAAATTTCATCCGGAATTCTAAAGTTGATTGTTTAGATGGTCCTTCAACTTGTGATATATAGTTAATTATATTAAAGTTATTTATTCTCCCAAAAATCATCTTATTTAGGTAAAATAAAATACTCCCTCCGTTTCACAAAGAATGACCTTCTTTTTTTTAGTCAGTTTAAAAAAGAATGACCTCTTTCCTTTTTTGGTAATATTTTACTTTTTGCTTGCCACGTGGCATGTTTAAGACCACAAGATTAAGGGCAATTTTGTACATTTGACATAATTTAATTTAGGACCACAAGATTCAAAAGTCTTCTTTATTTACTTAAACTCCGTGCCAAATCAAACCATGTCATTCTTTGTGAAACGGAGGGAGTAGTAACTTTTGGAAAACAAAACCAAAAAATTTGACTAATTACCACAAATTAAGTGATCGTTCAAATTAAACAATCAATTCTCGATCCCATAGACTAGAGAGAAACGTACATCTAAAGTTCTCCTAAAGTTTTATGCAAACAAGTCTAATAACGGTAAAAACTAGCAAGAACCTCCAACACGAAATTCTCATTGCAATTAATAGAAGCACTAAATTAAAAATCTATATGCATGCATGTATTAGTTTCTTTTTTAAATTTGGTGTCTGATGCCTACATTAGAGTTTCACTTAAATTTAGATGACATACTGCAAAGCTCATTTTGGGTGGCGTTCTAGGACTCAAACTCGAAATATCTGATTAAGGGTGAAGTGATCCTATCACTACATCAAAATCGTGTTGGTACATGGATTAGGTTCTCCAACTAACTTTTCTAACTGCAAAAACTTTTGAGTACACTTCTTCATATTTTTGATCATCATCAAATTTTTAGTACTCATCCAATAACCAACACAAAAATAATGTTTTCATCTTTTCCACTAGCTTCTTTAGTTTCTTAAAAATAGAAGCAATTCTTTTTCTCTTCCTAATTCTCTAAACTGAATTTTTTGCTTTATACAACTCAACTAAATAACCTTATCTTCTATCAACTTCCCATAAAGTACTCTTTAGCTTTCATAAAATATATTACAGCCAAATTTAGTAAACCACCACCTTTAATTTCTAACTTATTCAAATGAAATATTACTATTTTTAGCAAGTTTCATTATACTCCAATCACTATAAATATTGGCCCCAACAAGTGTCCAATACACAAAAAACACATACATATACATGCATTTGTCTATCAAAATAATAATGGCTTCTTTTCAAAGATTAATTAGTTGTATTTTTGTGCTTTTTCTTTTGTCCTTAGCTTTTGCATGTGAAGCTAGGGTTTTACTTGAAAATAATGCAAATGATCAAGGGTTTGTTAGAGTCAATGGTGCACATTTTGAACTCAATGGATCACCTTTTCTATTCAATGGTTTCAACTCCTACTGGCTAATGCATGTTGCTGCTGAGCCTAGTGAGAGGTACAAGGTCACCGAGGTCCTTCGCGAAGCATCTTCTGCAGGGCTCTCTGTATGTCGTACTTGGGCTTTTAGTGATGGAGGCGATAGAGCACTACAAATTTCACCTGGTGTTTATGATGAACGTGTTTTTCAGGTAGTACATTCATCTGTTTCATTTTATATGACATTGACTGACACCTTTCTATATTTGAAAACTCTTTATTATAACTTTGAACTTCTAACTAATGTTATCCATAATAACATGTTTTTAAATCCACATTTTTACACTACAAGTTTTTCTTTTTCAACTTATGACCACAAATACTTTTAATAAAGGTAGTTTTGGTACGTAACAAAAATCCCTTTATTTCTTGAACTTTGTATACAGTCAAACAACGTAATATTTCATTATGTAGGGTTTGGATTTTGTTATATCGGAGGCTAAGAAGTATGGAGTTCGATTAATCTTGAGCTTTGTAAACAACTACAACGACTTTGGAGGGAAAGCTCAATATGTTCAATGGGCGCGAAATGCAGGAGCTCAAATAAATGGAGACGATGATTTCTACACTAATTATATTACTAAAGATTATTACAAGAATCACATTAAGGTAACAAAAACCTAGCACTCATTAATTAATTGACATATGCTAATTTTAATTAGGCTAATGTTAATTTTCATTATTAAGTACAATTGTTACTCCATTATTGCAGAAAATTGTTACAAGGTTCAATACCATTACTGGAATGACTTACAAAGACGATTCAACTATCATGGCATGGGAACTCATGAATGAGCCCCGCAACCAAGCTGATTATTCTGGAAATACTATTAACGTACGTACGTCTGAATTAAAAAAGAGTTGATTTCTCAAATGATCACTCAATCAACTGATTAATAAGTACTAGCTAGTTACTATTTTAAAAAGTAACTTTTACTTGATTGAGAAAAAAACAACTATTAGTTGAATCGAGTGATCATTTGAGAAATCAATCCTTAATAAAAGAGAGTCTTTCTCAATTACTAAGTACATTTTAAAATTAATAATTTTGCATAATTGATGTTTATATTTTGATATTATTGCAGGCGTGGGTTCAAGAAATGGCAAGTTTTGTGAAATCACTTGATAACAAACACTTGCTAGAAATAGGAATGGAAGGATTTTATGGTGATTCAGTGCCAGAAAGGAAGTCAGTTAATCCTAGTTATCAAGTTGGAACAGATTTTATTAGTAACCATTTAATCAAAGAGATTGATTTTGCCACTATTCATGCATACACTGACCAATGGTACTATTCTTTTTTCATAATTCACATGCTTCATTCTTAACCAGAAGTCTCGGGTTTAAGTCCTAGATATGAGAAAAAAATTTGTTGGGAGCGCCACCTCCAAATGGGCCCTGCAATTGCGCGCTCCAGATTTAATCGGGCTAAAAAAAACATTAAATCTTGATATTGATATATTATTTACATGGCATCAAATCAACTTTATTCAAAATTTAAATTTAATGAATTCTAACTGATTTTCAATATCGAACATAATGAATTTTCGAAATTATAGGTCCAAAATTTTATGATTCAAGAATTCGTTCTACCTTTGGACTAGCAAAAGTATCATGTATAGCGCCACTTTTTATTACATAAAATATCCGTTAATGTTAAAATAAATAAAAAATCAATATATATATATATAACATCACCCATATGTTACGTTATCTAGTGACATAATACACTAGTTATCCTTAACTGTTTTTTTTTATATTTTTTTATAACAAGAATTAATTAATTTTTTAATGCTGAATTATAGGTTATCTGGTCAAAGTGATGATGCTCAAATGATATTTATGCAAAGATGGATGACAAGTCATTGGCAAGACGCAAAAAACATACTGAAAAAGCCATTGGTTCTAGCTGAATTTGGCAAATCAAGTAGAGATCCAGGATACAATCAAAATATACGCGATACATTTATGAGCACGATATATAGAAATATTTATAGTCTAGCGAAAGATGGAGGAACGATGGGAGGAAGCTTAATATGGCAGCTCGTTGCGCAAGGCATGGAGAATTATGAGGATGGTTATTGTATTGAATTGGGAAAAAATCCATCGACTGCTGGAATTATTACAAGTCAATCTCATGCCATGACAGCTTTGGCTCATTTGGTTAAGATTTAGGAGTTATTTTATAAGTATACGTTAGAGGACATGGAAGAAAATAAGTATACTTTATTAGTTCCATGACGTCTGTTTTTCAGTTTTTTTGGGTAAATTATGAAATATGTCTTTGTAATAATTGGCTAAGTATATTTAACATTCAAAAAATTAATTAAAATGTATGTTTCAATCCTTTTATATATATAAAAATCGTGTGATATACTCCCTCCATTCCTATTTATATGTCACCATTTTAGATTTCACGTGCATTAAGAAACTAAGTAAGTTTGCTATTCTACCCTTATTTAATTTTTTGGAACTCAAGTTTTCAATCAATGAATATGAATTAATTTATTTTGATTAATTAATTTAACCAATGAACATGAATCATTTACTTAGTTTTTCTAAGTTGATCAAATGTATATTTTCACGGCTAATAACTCACAAGGGTAAAAAAGGAACAATATGGTAATTTATGTATTGATTTTATGTAATGACAAGTATTATGAACCAACTATTTATAGAAAGAGATGACATATAAAAAGGAACGGAGGGAGTATATATTTTCTAACTATTTTTAGAACCATATCATTTAAGTGGCTATGGAGGAAAATAATTAGTTCTATGAGAGATTCTAGTTCTCACACTATAACAAAAATAGTTTTTAGCGGCAATAAATATTTATATTATCTAAGAGGGCTAAAGTCTTGCCGGCATTAGTTAATTGTCATTGGATTTACTATAGGCTTTATGGTCATTTATAGAGTCTTAATTGACTCTAAAAAAATATATTTAGCAGCAATTAAATTATTGTCATTAATTAATCATCACTAAAAATCTTTTTTTTTTTATATATAATGTCAGTTTTTTTTTAAATACTTTTTTTAGGTGTAGTGTAAAAAAAATACTTCTAGAAAGGGTAAGTACCTAAGTTCCACAATCAAATTAAATGAACGAAAAAAGAGAAAGAAAACTCCCCAGCCTAAAAGAAAAACATAGTAAGCAGCAATAAAAACAGTCAATAACAGCATTACAGCAAACAAAATGATGAGAATAACTACTCGCTTTGTCTTATTTCACATAATTTGAATTTCGAGAGTCAAATAATTTATTTTTATCTATCAATTTGAGCATAAAATATTTAATTTATGTAAAAAATATTATAAATTTGAATATCAAAAAGTTGAATAATATGCTTCCTCTATAAAATCTGAAATTTGTCATGGATTCCTAGCTTTGCCTCCAAGTATAAGAACTCTATTTTGAAAGATAAAAGGAATAAATAATCTCCGGCTCACTTATAAATTGATTAATAAAAAATGATTTTTTTTTTCATTTTTCAAATCCCTTATATAAAATAAACATATCTCATAAAACAAACATTGTAAAAGATATTAAAATAAAGTGTTTGACTATTATCCATATACTTAAAAAAAAAAAAAAAAATTGATTGTGCTAATTAAAACGTCAGCTGGATTAGTGAGATACGTCACTAACATTAACGGATCCTTTTCGCGGCTGCATTTTTTTGTAATTTGTTTCCATTTCAATTCGTTTGTTGGTATAATTTGATACTGAGTTTAAGAAAATAGAGATATTTTTGAATTTTTTAATATTAAATTAAAAATATGTGAAATTATTAAAATGCTAGCTAGTCTTGTGTAAATAAACATATTATGTGGAAAATTAGAATTAAAAAATTGCTAAAAAAAGGAATATTTTTTTTGAAACAAACAAATGGAGGGATTATATGATATCACTTGTATCAAATAATAGAGCAGACTTTCTGCAAAGTTGTCCATTTTACTTCCATTTACTAATTACCAATGACGTATAATCTAAGCCAAATTAAAAGAGAGAAGAAATTGGATTTTCATATTTTCTTCATATACTACATATATTATAATTTCAAATTTCACATCTTGAATGGATAGGGTATTGTTATATGATAAGTTAATTGGACAATTTAACATTATAATTAGTATGTTGTTTGTTAATGAACTTTTAGTTTCAACCCTCTCAATCTAGTAGCAATATAATTAACTAAGTAATTAGTTGATGATACAACATGAGTTGTAATCAGATGTCTAAGATTTGAGTCAAACGTATGTAGAAAATTCTGTTGGGAGCTCCACCTCAAATGAGCTTAGCAATGCATGATTCGAATTTAATCAAAACTCCATGGTTGGAAATCATTTATTTTCGCCATTTCCAAATTGAAAGAAAGAAAATAATCTTTTCAGATTTATTAAGTATAAAAAATAACATGTTTCTTTTGTTGTAAAAAGTACATAAAATTAAAAATACAATTGTAAAGGGTTACATACAAATCAACTCTCCCTAATATTATTGTCAAGAACGTATTTCTCTCCTGGACGGAGCTAGGGTACCGGAAAATAGGAAGGGGACCGTTGAAATTTACACGATATATATAAGGTTAAAATTATTTTATATATATATATATATATCTCCTCGGCTTAACTTCTTCACATAGTTACTTCTTTATATTTTTAATCCTCTTAGAAAATCATGACCCCGCCACTATATACTCGGATAGTTTTGACTTTTGTGAATATTGCTACGTCAAACAATAACTTGTTATTTACATGTGGAAGTTGAGATAACTGAATTTATTACTACTACAACGTATACGTAGAAGGTGATGCCAAGTAACCACATGGAATGCATGCATAAGCCATTTTCATGGTCATATTTCTCTTATTATATATGTTGCTTCTGTCATGCATATTTTGTGGAGTATTCAGTTAAGATATCCACTTCTTCTATTTCTGAATTAACTAATCATTTTCAAAATATTCACCACATCTATCAACTTCCTAATTAGCTCATGCCCTTTCTCTTTCTAGCCGTCAGAAATGGATTCAGAATTTTGATTTAGTCATGAGTTTAACTTTTAAGGTTCTATAACACAATACTTATTGCACTTCAAAATTATGAGATCAGATAATATATTAGCTGAAATTTTTGTGATTTTAATTTCAATATATACTATAGGTTGGGATGAATTCAGCAATGAAGCGCAGTAGATTTGCTCCTACCTGGTCGGAGCTGTAGGAGTTGATCCAAATCTCCTGCGCTCAAAAATCACATCTATATATTATAATAAAGCTAAATGAGAAAACGGTGACTGGCGCTTTCTATTAGCTTCAATTTCATTTATCTTCTTTTTTTGTGTTTTTTTTGGCCTTTTTTCTAATTTTAAAATACAAAAAAATCATCTAAATATTAAAGATAGTGATATTAATTCATTCTTCTTCAATAGCCATATTTAATATATTTTATCATTAATGCTATTATTCTCTTTTCCTATAACATTTCTCAATTTCTTCTTTTACTATTTTCTTCCATAAATCTCACCATTAATGATATTTATCATTTCCTTAAATAACTTTTTTCCCTTTCTTTATTCTTTTTTTTTAATTTATTCTATTCAATATATAATATAAAAGGTATTTTTTTAACCATTTTCTCATAAATCTCATTTATAACATTTCCTTAATAAATCACTACTTTTCCTTTCTTTGTTCTTTTTTACTTATTTTTATTTATATATTCAATTCAAGAAATTTATATATCTATATAATATTAGGTATTTTTGTTATCTTCTTTATTTGTATTTTTCATATATTATTTATTTTTAAAATTTCATCTCCATAACTTATATCTATTTAACTTCTACTCTTAATAATATCATTAATTTCATGGCTTTTGATTTTTTATATTCATAACCCCCAACTATTAAATTATAAAATTTAAGATATTTTATGATATTCATTCATTTTTGTCAACATAAATTCACAAGTTTTTTGTTTCATGAAATTCCAATTCAAGATTATTTTTTATATTTCATTGTTCTTTGTAGCATTATTCTATTATCAAATTTATGCTTTAACTTGACACGATGAATAAGACTCTTGATTGTTGATTCATTTCTTATTATTATTTATTTTTTTAATATAAGGTCCTACGAAAGATCTATGTGTTTGTGTTTTCTCCATGTAACCTTTTTAGTTTGATTTTTTTTATTATTAAAAGTCTATAATTTGTTTAGATGCAAATTAGTTATTGTAACTTTGTGTTCAACTATAATTTTTTTATTATTGCAAGTCTGTATTTTTGTTTAGATGCAAATTAGTTATTATAACTTTGTGTGAAATAATATTAACTATTAGCCAATTCAAGGTTCAACAATATTATTGTACATAAAACTATTTATGTTTTCTTTAAAGATTTCTTTATTTTGTCCATATAAATTCATAATTTTTTATTTCATTAAGCCGTACTCAAGATTATTCTTTTTATTTCATATTTAAAATCACATTTTCCTTTTATTATTATTGTAGTAAAGCATGACTCAATAAAGAGGGCTCTTGGATGTTGATCAGTAGTTAGAGGGAGTACTGTTGACAAGAGCTCAAATATTGTGCGTTGATTCATTATTATTATTTTCATCTATTTCCTAATTATGATTAAGGTCCTAATGAAGGTATGTGCATTGTGTTCTTTTTGTATGTAATTTCTTAAGTTTGGAAGATATATGTGATTTGTTGGTACCTTCGTTAGACGAAAATTAATTATTGTAACTTTGTTAGTAATATGCTAATTACTATCAAGGTTGAAACTCTACTATTAATAGATTTAAAAAAATTGAAGATATATTAATTATTATATGACCTTTTTAATGGTATTTTTTACGGTAGGAAGAACCATTTATGTTTAATTTAAAGATTTGTTTTATTCTTATATTTTTCTTTAAAAAATATTAAAAGAATTAATAATAATAAAAATATATTGTACACTGATTTTATATTTCTTTTCTCATCTATTTTTTTTGTGATTAAGATCCTAAGAAAATGTGTTTTTCTTACTATAAAAATTTATTGTTAAGTAGGATAGAGAAAGGAAAAGAAAAGAAAGAAGAAAAAATTAATTAATAAAATATAAAACAAATCTATATATCTATATAAAGGAGGATGTTAAACTTGCTGATGTGGCATGCC